GATGGTGACTCCATCTACTCCTGCTTCTATGATCTGGCCTCTGCTTTTGACACTGTGGAATATCCAGTTCTTCTCACTCACCTTAAGAACGCTGGCATTACAGGAAAAATCTGGCGCCTCATCAAAGACTGGTACACCAACGTCCACTTGTATGTAGCCTCGGCAAAGCAACCTCCCCCTCCTTCACTGTCAGTAGGGGGGGGGTGTTCGCCAGGGCTCTGTTCTCTCCCCACTTCTTTTCCTGCTAGTGTTGGATCCGCTAATCCAAGAGCTCAAAAACAGATCATGCGGCCCCACGGTCTGCGGTCTCCACCTAGGCGCTTTCGCCCATGCTGACGACATTCGTACCCTGTCCACAAACATCTCTGACTGCCAACTCCAGATCAATGTTGTCAAAGAGTTTGCCACATCTCAAGGCCTCACACTAAACATCGACAAATGTGAAGCAGTAATTTCTCCCTCCACTCCAGCTAACATGACATACATCGAAGCTGGACTGTTGAAAATTCCACTCACTCACTCCGCCAGATGTCTCGGAGCATGGTGGTCCCCTGACCTCTCCTGCAAGTTGTGGTTAAACAACAGCATGGAAAAAGCTAGGAGAGCCTTTTTTGCGAGAGGCAGTGGTGTATTCCATGGAAAGCTCAACCCTCTCTCCGCCATGAAGATAGTTGAACACTGCGTCCTGCCATGCCTCCTCTACGGGGCCGAGTCGTGGATTCTTGACAATGGGTTGCTGGCCAAGCTGGAGTCCTTTCAAGCTGAGTTGGCCAAACGACTCCTCTGCCTCCACAAATACACTGCCAACAACATAGCTCGCATGGCCCTCCAATGGCCATCGATGAGGGCCCGCATTCTCATTATCAAGTTTCTCCACAAGATCATTGTGGGTGATCTTTCCCTCAGCGCCCGAACCTTCCGCTCACTCGCTGTCACGGATGTCGAGTCACTGCTGCTGGTCCGACAATGCAGATTCCTTGAGTCCACACTCGACGACTCATTCACCACTTCTATACTCACATCCCCCAAAAGTGTCTCTCTCTCTTCAATCAAGAAAGATATACTGAAACTCGACATCTCTCTACTTCTGTCTGATGCCGCCTCACATCGCTCTCAGACTCTGGTCCAACAAATTGCCTCCAGTCAGGAGGGAAGCTGGCCTAAGTTATGGGATCTGGCCCTAGAGAGAGGGGTCTTTGGAACCACCTGCATCCAGGCCGTGTTGAAGTTTCTCTCTCTCCACCCTCACTCAGGCAACACATTCCCCATTCCAAACTGCGGCATCTTGTTGGATACTCATTCCATTTGCTCCCACTTCCTGTCTGACCATTCCGAGCTCACTGTCACCACCCAAGAAATCACTGATGCCTGCATCTGTTGTTCTGACTCAATATTCATTTTTGGTCGATCGTTACATAATAGTTTTAAATCACTCCTGTATTCTTGACCTTCACCTTCCTTCCACCTCCTGTAAACTCAGGGCAAATGAAATGTTATGCTAGCGCACCAGAAAGAGGGTTGGGAACAAGATCAAAATGAGGACTGTGCTCAACACAAGAAGTATGCAGTGTTTTTCCCTTCTGACAAAACCAGTGAGGAATTTGCTCTTGATGAAGATGGATTTATGATCCTCGACTAATCAACAACAGACTCAAAGGAAGTAATCACACATGCTATTCACCACTATGGCATTTATACCCAGTGATCATAATTCACACATGCACAGCCTTCTTGTTTGTCTTTATGAGCCCAGCCCTCATTTTGGGTACTTGCTCACGCTGGAAACTTGGCGTGCGAAGTGACTGGGGATGCCAAGTTTCCAGCCGTGATTAATTAGTATCGATCACGCCCCTCCCGACGAACGAGACACTCCACTCCACCTGAAGAAACACGCCTCCTCCTCTTGACGAGACACGCCTCTCCACTTGAAGAAAACGCGCATCGGCTCAACGCAACACGCCTCCTCCAAAGGAACAAAAAAGAGCGTTACATCCTCGAATTTTGGCACGATTTACCTCCCATAATTATAGTCTCGCTGTACCTTCCTCCCCGCAACGTTTGGCCCCGCTAGACTACGGCCAGCGCCGGCCAGCACTGCGCAGCCGGGACGACCAGTAAAAGCCAACTCTACAAGCTAGACGGTCCTTCTCTCCAACTATAAGCATTCGTCTGTAGCCATCCGGGCGCTCATGCGCAACAAAGGTTTCAGCAGCAGTTTAAAAACGCGGCGCGCTGTCTCGAAAGTTAAGGTGGTCAGCCATACATGCGCTACATCGACCACGCCGTAGACGCTCTTCAAGACACGCCTCTCCACTCGAAGAAACGCGCCTCCGATCCTCCTCTCGCCGAGACACGCCTCTCCACTCGAAGAAACGCGCCTCCGCCAAACTAAACACGCCTCCTCCAGACGACGAACAAACGAATTTTGGCACGATTCACCCCCCAATACGAGACTACGGTGCGCGCGTAGACTTGCATGCGCAAGCGCGAGTAGTGCCTGCCCCATCGGCACTCCCGCTAGAATATACTATTACAAATGCGAGGAGGGGTCTGGGCTCTAGGTTTCAGCAGATATGTCTGGATTGCCATTTGTGGCTAGCTATAATATTCCAATCGCGTGTGTGTTGCACCATTCTGTAGCTGTACAGCGGAGATCGGGGCATTTTACGCACTTCAACTCTCGACAATAGGAATATATAGGATACAAGAACCTTGCCCAAACTATATTGTCAGTGGACTACAGCTGGAATAAAGCTGTCAATTAAGGCAATCTTCCAGTCTATAGCTAGAGAAAAACTACCATCCACTCAGAAGTAACCTTTCTCCCGTCCCTAGTCCTGACATTGACCCTCACACTAGTGCGACCAGCGGGCAGGTCAGAGAAAGTCAAGACAACTGATGTTGCACTTTCTGGTAAACAAGAAAAGTAATAACGCATGCACAGAATGATGTGGTTACAACAGAAGTCACCTCTTTGTGTGTATCTTTTGTTGTTGCTGTCCCTGACAATGACTCTAATATGTCGAGCCCCTGGATAATTAACCGTCACCACAACACCAGAATCAATGTTGTCAATGATGGGTGTAACTCCTGTCGGGGATACAAATAAGATGCACAGGTTGAGAAAGTCACCAAAAAGTTAGTGAGGATAGCTACATGTAAGAATGCAGTGAATGTGTGGAGATTTCAGTGTACAATTAATGCGCATAACTTGACTAGCTACCACCTAAATTGGACTGAGGCACAAAAATGCTAGTAGCTACATGCTTTGGTATTAGCAAGGAAAGTAGATAGGCAATGTGAGCGTTACTTGATCATAATTATATTTTACCCGGTGCCATCTAATCACAATGCAAATGCAAGTGTGAACATGCATCTCTTGTGCTACGTATAGACTTGCTTGAATTCACTTGGCTGCATTTTGACTTAGGCTATTCAGAATAGTATGGCGACCATTATACTCACTGTCAACACAGACTGCCAGTGGGGGACAGGGAGCTGTGACACAGACAACTTCCTCCACCAGACAATCCTGGTCCTCCTCACATGGACTGGGCACACACGGATCGGCATCTTTGTTAGAGAAAGCGACAAAGTTCTAATTTTCTGTGGTGTTACCTCGACTGCAAAGCTTCATAGCTACAGTTTCGGAATTCTGCGCCGCTCATGTATTGCGTGGACATCGAATATGTATTACATGCCACCATTTTTTCTGAAGAATTTGGTTCAGGAGAATAATTTAGCCACATTAGAAGTGGCAGATCTAGGGGGGTTCCTTGTGTTCCGCGGAACCACCTTTTTATCGTTTTGCGCGCTTGCGTTTCCGGCCTCTCGTGTGCACACAGCCGGGGCCATGTGCGTGTGCATGCCAGACAGGCCGGCCAGCTTATATAATTATGCGCGCCAACACGCGCATGTGCATACACAACGTGGCCTAGCTTTGCTCCCCCTCCTCTGTGCCCAGAGGCAAACATGTAGTTTTGACCATTTCAGCAGCAACAATTGATTCCTCTAGCTACCACTTACGAGATGCTTTTCAAGAGACATGTTAATTTGCTGTGTTTTCTATCCTAGACACACTCTCTGGAGCCTAATGGCAGGGTTTTGAACTCACTAGTTGAAATAATTATACAGTGTGATGGCTAATAATTGTGTGTGTTTGCTCACTAGGGCACTGGGATGGTGGGATGCACTGGCCATTGTGGAGCACCAGGTCATTGGGACAGAAGCAGCCTGGCACACAGACAGCCGGACATGGCTGCTGGTCCTCCTCGGTACCAAACAGCCTCTCACATGTTTGGGGACACAGGGACCCACACTCTGTGTACTCCATACCACCCTCACACTCAGCTGGGGAATAGAACAGCAGTGCATGCATGCAGAGCTATAATATTTTGCCTTCTCACTCCACCAGAGCAAGAACTATCAGCATGCATAAACCTCTGCTTTCAATGTCTTCGTTCATACAGCCTTTGAAAGTAAGCTCTTATGAGGTCTCTGATGTAGCATATGTACACTGCAGGTTCTGGGCTCCAGTTCCATGTCCCCTCAGTTACACTTGCCTAGGATTTGACTTAAAGTTCATCAAATAATGGAGATTCACCTTCTCCAAAGGAACATTCTCCTAGACTGAGGTTGAATCGGCAGACTCCAGGGATTTGAGGAGGCTGGAAGTCAGGTCCTGGGTTAGCACATGGAGGGACTGGCAGAGACTGGAACACCTGGAAATCATACTCTGAGCCACAGTTCCAAGAGGTCCTACAGTGACCCAGCCATGAACGACAGGCTGTAGGGAAAAAAACCAAAATGAAGAGAGGAAAAAGATTTCTCGTAGATAAAATGGTACACATACGCTAATAACTAAGGGTTATCTTTCAGCAATGCATTTTATACAAGGGAAAGTGGTGGGTATATTTGACAAGCGAAGCAACCCTCCTATTGTAGTCTGAAAGCTAGTGTTCTCTATGATGGCCACTGGACATACTGTAATGTTTATGTGGTTCTAAATACGCGCGATAAACTACTGCTCACTTTGCTTGCCAAAAATATTATTCAAGTATTACAATGCTTGAGAAGGAGAGACCATGAGCTAGTATAATCTAGAGTGAGTAACAGTTATGATATCGTCAGCAAAGGTTGACTTAGAACTTACCAGACCACTCACACTCCCCGTCACTATAGAGGCACTCTCCCTGGGGTCTAGGTTCAGGTCGTGGGGGGTCAGGAGCGATACAAAATGGAACAGGACCATTGAGAAACCGGCCAAACTCCACACGGGTCCCACAATTGTAGTCGCCATTGCAATGGCCCTGCCAGATGGTGCAGGGATTGTAGCGTTTGCATTCCCCGTCTTGAGCTACGCACACCTCATCAGGTGTGGGAGGAGGAACAATCAACACCGGGCATGTCTCATTGCTGCGGGCTTCAAAATAAGCCTCTGTTGTACAACTGTACTGTGTGGAACAGTCTGGGAGCCAAGATACACAGGAGGGGACTGGGGCCTCAGTGAAGGTACACTCTCCGTCTAATGAAGCACACTCTCCCACAGGTGTTTGATCCTCGGGCACAGGGCAATGAGGAGGAGGCCCAAACTGAAATGCTGCATACACCTCTTGTGTGGTGCATGCCTGAACACTTCCATTGCATGGCAGTATTGAGTCCCTATATAAAGCATAATTCCAGCACAATATGTGTAATGCATAAGAGCAGACTCACCGACAGGGGGTAACGGCAGGGGTGAGATCCCGTGAAAAGAGAACTTCACCTCCTAGAGGCAGTAGCAAGTAGCCAAGTTTCATAGGGATGGTAAGTAACAGAGCAAACATCTCCGAAAGGTTTCTTTCAATGCACACATGACAGTGACTACTGACCATAATACAAGTAAACTATTGGTAGCTTTTCTTAGCAATCTGTCAAGTGGGTTAGGAATGGCAAAGAAAATAAGAAGGTTTGGTTACAGCAAGTTACACAATACTGAGTGCCACATCAGGCAGACATTGTATCATAATAATTGTGTGTGTTTGCTCACTAGGGCACTGGGATGGTGGGATGCACTGGCCATTGTGGATGACCATGTCATTGGGACAGAAGCAGCCTGGCACACAGAGAGGCGGACAGGGTGGCTGGTCCTCCTCGGTACCAAACAGCCTCTCACATGTTTGGGGACACAGGGACCCACACTCTGTGTACTCCATACCACCCTCACACTCAGCTGGGGAATAGACATCATTTTAATGACACATAGCAGTTGATAGCATCTGCTTGTTATATGCACAATGGAGATTTAACTCTTTGACGCACAGCTTGGTTTAAGCACAATGGAGATTAAACTCTTTGAAGGCTAACCCACAGTTCCTGTAAGCTGTAATATATACTACTTCTTGCATGGTTTCTGTATGGACGGCATGTCAAGGTTTCATGGCCATTATGAAATTCTCTCAAAGTTCTAACCCTTGGAGTATGTGTGACCTCAAACACCTCACGATCAATCCAGCTCATTTGTCTAATGTTAGGCAATGACTTCTAATGTTGTACTTTAGGAAAACCATTGATAGCTGTTTGTTTTATGATGGCAATGAAAGCTAGTATTGCCATGCAGCTTCTTGCTGCAAGAAAGAACCTTACCTTCACCAAAGGCACATTCTCCTAGACTGAGGTTGAATCGGCAGACTCCAGGGATTTGAGGAGGCTGGAAGTCAGGTCCTGGGTTAGCACATGGAGGGACTGGCAGAGACTGGAACACCTGGAAATCATACTCTGAGCCACAGTTCCACGAGGTCCTACAGTGACCCAGCCATGAACGACAGGCTGTAGGGAAAAAATTCTAGTAGACAAAAGATGTGTACATGAACGACACGCTGTAGCAGTTGCACCACCTAGCTATCTACCCACTATGGAAACTATGGTGAGCGGAAGTGTAAACTTACCAGACCACTCGCACTCCCCATCACGATACAAACATTCTCCCTGTGGTCTAGGCTGAGGTCGTGGGTTGTTGGGGTCAGGGCGGAGACAACCTGGAATAGGACCATTGAGAAAATAGCCATGTTCCAGTCGACTTCCACAGTTGTAGTCTCCATTGCAATGGCCCTGCCAGATGGCGCAGGGATTGTATCGTTTGCACTCCCCGTCTTGAGCTACGCACACCTCATCAGGTGTGGGAGGAGGAATAATCAACACCGGGCATGTCTCATTGCTGCGGGCTTCAAAATCAGCCTCTGTTGTACAACTGTACTGTGTGGAACAGTCTGGGAGCCAAGATACACAGGATGGGACTGGGGCCTCAGTGAAGGTACACTCTCCGTCTAATGAAGCACACTCTCCCACAGGTGTTTGATCCTCGGGCACAGGGCAACGAGGAGGAGGCCCAAACTGAAATGCTGCATACACCTCTTGTGTGGTGCATGCCTGAACACTTCCATTGCATGGCAGTATTGAATCCCTATATAAAGCATAATTCCAGCACAATATGTGTAATGCATAAGAGCAGACTCACCGACAGGGGGTAACGTCAGGGGTCAGATCCCGTGAAAAGAGAACTTCACCTCCTAGAGGCAGAATTATATATAGTACAAGTAGCTAAGTTTCATAGGGATGGTAAGTAACGTACAGAGCAAACATCTCCGAAAGGTTTCTTTCAATGCACACATGACAGTGACTACTGACCATAATACAAGTAAACTATTGGTAGCTTTTCTTAGCAATCTGTCAAGTGGGTTAGGAATGGCAAAGAAAATAAGAAGGTTTGGTTACAGCAAGTTACACAATACTGAGTGCCACATCAGGCAGACATTGTATCATAATAATTGTGTGTGTGTTTGCTCACTAGGGCACTGGGATGGTGGGATGCACTGGCCATTGTGGAGGACCATGTCATTGGGACAGAAGCAGCCTGGCACACAAAGAGCCGGACAGGGTGGCTGGTCCTCCTCGGTACCAAACAGCCTCTCACATGTTTGGGGACACAGGGACCCACACTCTGTGTACTCCATACCACCCTCACACACAGCTGGGGAATAGACATCATTTTAATGACACATAGCAGTTGATGGCATCTGCTTGTTATATGCACAATGGAGATTTAACTCTTTGAAGCACAGATTGGTTTAAGCACAATGGAGATTAAACTCTTTGAAGGCTAACCCACAGTTCCTGTAAGCTGTAATACTACTTCTTGCATGGTTTCTGTATGGCCGGCATGTCAAGGTTTCATGGCCATTATGAAATTCTCTCAAAGTTCTAACCCTTGGAGTATGTGTGAACTCAAACACCTCACGATCAATCCAGCTCATTTGTCTAATGTTAGGCAATGACTTCTAATGTACTTTAGGAAAACCTTTGATAGCTGTTTGTTTTATGATGGCAATGAAAGCTAGTATTGCCATGCAGCTGCTTGCTGCAAGAAAGAACCTTACCTTCACCAAAGGCACATTCTCCTAGACTGAGGTTGAATCGGCAGACTCCAGGGATTTGAGGAGGCTGGAAGTCAGGTCCTGGGTTAGCACATGGAGGGACTGGCAGAGACTGGAACACCTGGAAATCATACTCTGAGCCACAGTTCCACGAGGTCCTACAGTGACCCAGCCATGAACGACAGGCTGTAGGGAAAATATTCTATTAGACAAAAGATGTGTACATGAACGACAGGCTGTAGGAGTTGCACCACATCTTTTTTGTACTACGCAGCTATCTACCCACTATAAAAACTATGGTGAGCGGAAGTGTAAACTTACCAGACCACTCGCACTCCCCATCACGATACAGACACTCTCCCTGTGGTCTAGGTTGAGGTCGTGGGTTGTTGGGGTCGGGAGGGAAACAACCTGGAATAGGACCATTGAGAAAATAGCCATATTCCAGTCGACTTCCACAGTTGTAGTCTCCATTGCAATGGCCCTGCCAGATGGTGCAGGGATTGTATCGTTTGCACTCCCCGTCTTGAGCTACGCACACCTCATCAGGTGTGGGAGGAGGAACAATGAACACCAGGCATGTCGCATTGCTGCGGGCTTCAAAATCAGCCTCTGTTGTACAACTGTACTGTGTGGAACAGTCTGGGAGCCAAGATACACAGGAGGGGACTGGGGCCTCAGTGAAGGCACACTCCCCATCTACCAGGGTGCATTCTCCAACAAGAGGGGTTCCGGTGAAATTCTCGTATGGAGGACATGCTGGACGTGGCTCACGCTCGAAGCGAGGATAGTCAACTTGTGGGGTGCACCTTGGAACACTCTCATCGCAAGGGAAGGATGTTTGTCTGTAGGAAAATTATCACAGCTATATAAAGCTATAATTATGTGAACTTGAGTACTTTCAATCAAGTTGAGAATGCATTTTGCCATACAGGAAGGATTTCTAATGTGTATGAAACGACCTACAGAACTGGGTCTTGAAGAGCTACAAAATGGCACCAAGCACAGAGGTAAGGGTTATAAAGAAAAGAAACATGCACTCTCATCGTGAATGGACTAGCTATTGTGCGGATTATAGTTATTGACTCACCGGCAAGGGGTAAATTCAGGGTTCAGATCGCGGGAGAAAATCCTCTCTTCGGCGAAAATTTGAGGACCAGGTAGAGTGATAGTCCTCGCAAAGGAGGCGAAAGCAAGCACCAAGAGGCACGCGGAGGATGTCTTTTTCATTGCTGGTGTTTAGCAGCATGGTAGCTCCTTCGCCGTTTTACGCATTTCGTCCGCCGGGTGCTTCCGCTGTGATCAAAGGAAGAGGAAGCTGCGCAAGGATATACAGGACGCTACGTTTCAGAACGGAATTTCCGACGGTCTCTTCTGTTCCCGTGGGTAGGACAAAAGTACTTGTGAGTCATGCTAGCCGAATCATCAGTGGGGCGGATTTCCACTAGCTAATAAGAGGTAGAGGAAGGTTAGCTAGTAGCAAAATATAATATCATCTGTCTTGCATGTTATGGTAGTTCTATAGCTAATCCTAAAGACTCAAGGCTCAAAGAGCTCAGACAATCCTTTGGTATAATTATACCTGGTGTACCTCAGCATAGCCGACATATGCATGGTGGCTAAACCAAAATTTACTTGGGAAAGGACACTCATTGAAGAAGTATTAAAAACCTGCAGAGTAAAACCTGAATTCATGTATGGCTCTGTTGGCCACTGTATTTCTTCTCTTTCACAGGTAGGAAGATAATAAAAAGGATGGTAGCTTGAAAAGTTTGGACTTGGGAGTCATGCATTCATATGGACCTATGGTTATAAGGTAAGGTTATACAGGACGCCATATACAGGTCTTCAGGACGTAATTTCCGTAGCTGTTCAAAAGTAATTGTGAGTCATGCTATATGGCTGTCATGAGTGAGGTGGACTTCCACTAGCTAATAAGGAAGGTTATATAGTAGCTCGCTTGTTATGGTAGTTCTATAGCTAATCCTAAAGACTGATGGCTCAAAGAGCTCAGACAATCCTTTGGTATAATTATACCTGGTGTACCTCAGCATAGCCGACATTATGCATGGTGGCTAAACCAAAATTTACTTGGGAAAGGACACTCATTGAAGAAGTATTAAAAACCTGCGGAGTAAAACCTGAATTCATGTATGGCTCTGTTGGCCACTGTATTTCTTCTCTTTCACAGGTAGGAAGATAATAAAAAGGATGGTAGCTTGAAAAGTTTGGACTTGGGAGTCATGCATTCATATGGACCTATGGTTATAAGGTAAGGTTATACAGGACGCCATATACAGGTCTTCAGGACGTAATTTCCGTAGCTGTTCAAAAGTAATTGTGAGTCATGCTATATGGCCGTCATGAGTGAGGTGGACTTCCACTAGCTAATAAGGAAGGTTATATAGTAGCTCGCTTGTTATGGTAGTTCTATAGCTAATCCTAAAAACTGAAGGCTCAAAGAGCTCAGACAATCCTTCGGTATAATTATAATACCTGGTGTACATCGGCATAGCTGACATAGCATGGTGGCTAAACCAAAATTTACTTGGGAGTTATGCAAGGTCACTCATTGAAGAAGTATATATATTAAACCAGTTACCTGTTGCAGAGTAAAACCTGAATTCATGTATGGTAGGTTCATTGTACAGGATAAAAGGCTTTGTATTTCGCCACATTTTCTGTTGGCCACTGTATTTCTACTCTTTCCCAGGTAGGAAGATAATAAGGATGGTAGCACTTGGGAGTCATGCATTAATATGGACCTATGCATTAATGAACGAGTACTTACTTAGCACTAGAACGTACGCTTTATCTATGATCAAATAATCGTGAAGGTTATTTGTCTCGTTACTAGCGGGAGTTTCCAGATCTGCCCAACTAATGTAGCTAGCTATATACCCTCTCCCTTTCCTTCTCTCCGGTCCAATCTAAAAGTATGTTCTAAGGAAGTAATTACACATGAAATATTGTCTATTCGATCAGTTCTAGGAGCATTGTAGCACCATGCTCTTAGCACTAAAGTTTACCCCAGTTAAGCTACAAGTGGAGCTGTGACGCGTAGAGATGCTTGAAAAGCATAAGAAGAATTGGACGTGGGATTAGTTAGTCGATCTTGGCTGAAAATCAACTCAGGAACTTCTGTGCATAAATTACTTCTGAAGTCTTGTCCACTAGTGGAGGGTGCGCCAGACTTTACTTCGCTTAAATTTTCCTGCGTAAAGTTTGGTGTTGTTGCTGTAGTCTGCGTAGAATTAGACACCTGTTTTTACATCCTTCTCATCATCGTCTGTCTAAAAATAGCCGACCCCATTTGTCAAGTCGCTTTTCTGAAATCCTTATTCTGAGCAACTAAGTGACTTCTCTAACGGTTTATCACTGTGATCACAAAATGAAAACCTCCGGCGAACTGCGCACGCGCGGTACCACTAATTGATGGGCTGGGCTTTTAGTATGCGTTTACTCGCGGTCTCCAGCTCGCGGAGAGTCTGACACGGACTAGCTAAAGTAGTGTAGTAGATAGCATGCGGGAGTCGATACACGCCCTTCGTTGTGACTTCTTATGCCTTCAAGATACACAGAGCAAGCGGCCCGGTCTCGAGGTAAGCTTGTGCTAATTAGCATATTAACCGCATGCGCATTTTCCGCAGCGATAAAAATGGCCGACTACGCATTAGCCGTACCGTACATTATACTGGAAGCGCTCAACGAAGCATTTTCAGAGAAAACCGCACAAACGCTCCGACCTTCATTGCCCGTTAAGTAGGTAGCATCGTTTGTGAGACGAAAAAACATTCGAGAAGTGAGATTGAAAGTAACAGACAGAAAGCACACACCCAACTACCGTAACCCTCGCTGCGCATGCGCGCCGATGGTGACGTTGATATGAAAACTGCACTTTCTCCCTAGGTGGGGGAGTGACATAGCTGCTGATCTCCAGCCTTGGCCGTCTTTTGGGCCAGCGTTTGGGGATCTCTCCGGCTGAATCGACTCGTCATCTTTACCAAAGGTTCGCAATATCTCTGGAGGGGAAATGCATCCGCCTGGATTCACCGTTGTCTACAACTCCTCCCTCTTTAGATTGTTTGTTGTGTTTTTTTTTGTTTTTGTTTTTTTTGTTGTTCATTATCGTATAGTAGTATGCCGGTTTGTACTTTTCTTGTTTTTGGTGCGTCTATATAGTCTGTGTCTGTCGTTTGCCCTTATTTGACTTTTCGTGCGCGCGCGCGCGCATGCCCTAGCTTCATTTTGCGCATGCCCAATAAAGCATGCTAGGAATGTCCATGAATTCCGGTGTAGATCCGGCCACCACATCCATATATCCACACACACAAGATCAGGCACTCAAAAAACTGGACGGAAAGAGGATATGATCGGGTCCTACTGGTCTGCGTTACTGGTTGTGTGGCTGTGGCAGATCCGGGCCAGCCTCAGCTACACGTACGAGCTAAAACCGCAGGTGACCTTCGGCGGTAGTGGAGTGGACTCCGCGATCGTCATCGGCTCGTTCGTTGCCTACGGAAAGAAGGAGAGTGTCGGGAGGGAGCAGGTGGCCCTGGCCGACATTACCTACGGTTGCCCTGGATCGAACGGAACACTGTCAAATACCCGTTATGGGTCGGAGTTTATCGTCGTCCTCGAGCTCTCTCAGCAGTGCGACGACTACCTCCAGGCGAAGAAAGCCCGTCAAGACGGGGCCTCGGGAGTCGTGTTCTACTATTCCTCTTCGTCGAGCAAGAGCGGGTGGTCGTCGGGAGGCTACGACGAGCTATCAATCCCCGTGGTCGTGGTGGAGCTATGGGATGAAGTCGTGGATCGCCTCACAGGCCGGCAGACGCCCAAGTACACTAACGTCCTCATCGAGAGCAAGAACGTTGCCGTTGCTCCCCAGCAGCGAACCTTTTACTTCATAGTGACGGCGTTCTGTATCCTCATCCTTCTCTCGTGTCTGTGGTTTTTCACCAGCTACTTCAGGAGGTGCAGATACTCTCTCAGGAATAGGAGAAGACAGGTCAGTTTAGAATGATTCAGTGCGTGTTGTGCATGTGGCTGGATCAGGTGCATGCGTGGGAGTGTAAATACTTCAGTTTGTGTGACAGGTTGTTGAGGGCGGTGGTATTCCCACGCTGCATGTACGCCGCGTGTGCATGTGTGTGTGTGTAGTGCAGCTGCTGTATTAGCATGCAGAGACACCTGATACTGAGTGCAGTGGCAATCAACAATGCTCAACTGGTGGTGTGTTTACAAAGTTCGATTTTCCGCTTCAACTTCCATTCACACTTGTGTGGTGCCACCCTGGGGGGTTATGTATAGGGACTAGCCTCGTTCCCAGGCCTTCCACGAGAGAGAGAAGGCCTGGTAAACACTGAAGCTATTGGGTGACCTGCTGTGTTACATGGCCAGGATCGATTATAAAGGTCGCGACCCCCCTTCCTCCTATAGTTAGTGAGAGTTCAGGTATGCAATTACCAAGGAGCTCAAAGTGTGACACCCCCGTCTACGTAGGGTGTTCTGGTACACTTGGGAATGAGCATGAACAAAGAGCAGTTCAAAGGTTGTGGTATACTAGTAGAAATGCTTTGGCTAGCATAGCTACAAGCTGTCCCTGCCAACATAGCCTGCCTGGCAGAGATTTCACTGGGTGACTGAATGGTTCCACAATGATATGAAAATTACTGAGAGAGCGTTGCGTAGTCTGTGTATTCTAGCTGGAGATGTAGTGTATACTGGGAGGCAGAGGAGAGAGAAACGAAATGTATGTTCAGTTTCACAAAAGAGAACTCGTGTCTGTTGGAGAAAAATTTCCGCACAGTATTCTGTATAAAATGAATAGCCAAATCTCAACACATGCACTCTTGTTTGTAGGAGGTATGTATAGAAAAAACCCCTGAGTGCCAGGTGGGCTAGCTCCATTTTCCATGATTAGCATCTGTCTGGTGGTGTACTATAATACCCAGGCCAAAAATGTGAGTGAGTTCCATCTGGTGGTGTACTAATATAGGTTACACTACCCCCACCCACTCTGGTTTAGTGTATACACTAAACCAGAGTGGGTGTAGTGTAACCGGTTTGTACCACAGAATGAAGATGAGCGCTTGCTGTTTAGCGCGCGTGCAAGAGACCGAGGAAGAAGTAGTCGGAGCTGCCTTTCTTCTTTAGAACGGACTGCGGTCGAGCCAGTGAAGCACACTCGGTCATCTAGCCTTTGTCGGCTTGTTCTGTTGCTGTTATTGTTACTCGCCGATGGACTAGTGGTCGCAATCTGCGCTGGCTGTTGACTGCAATCGCCAAACAAGCTGCCGAAAGCGAGCCGTTTTCCAGCTACGGGGCCGAGCGGGGCTATCATTGCCTGGTAACACACAGAGTAGACCTCGATGAGCGCGTCCGGTGATAGACCCGCGCTACAGTCTCCCCATAGCATGGTCAAACGCCGTCGTTGACCACCCGTCTACCGACTTCCCTGCCAAAGCTTTCTGAGCGCGTCTCCTGACCCGCTCCACTGCCGTGTTCCCCTTGACAAGCACTACCGTCTTCCCCGTGGCGTGGTGTTTGCCTAGCCATGTGTGTGGATAAGATCTACCAAAGATAGACAGGGGCGGCTCCGTGTGCATGATCCTATCTCTGCCATACACCTGCCAGCTCAGCAAGCTGCTGCTAATTATATCGTAGTGTATGGTGCGCTGACTCAGCTCTAAGACAGTAGACTTATGTTGAGTCAGCACACTATACACTCCGATATCTAAGACAATACTGTTGTGATAGGAGTGCTAATCTTAATATAGGTTACTCTATGGACGTGCCTTTGATTTCTATGGCTTCTGTGGTACAATATATAATACCCAGGCTGAGAATGTGAGTGAGTTCCATCTGGTGGTGTACTGTAATACCCAGGGAGTGAGTTCCACCCAGGCCATGAATGTGAGTGAGTTCCATCTGGTGGTGTACTGTAATACCCAGGGAGTGAGTTCCACCCAGGCCATGACTGTGAGTGAGTTCCATCTGGTGGTGTACTGTAATACCCAGGGAGTGAGTTCCACCCAGGCCATGAATGTGAGTGACCTTTTACAAGGAGCACAAGTACAGAGTGCTTTGATATTTTCCCCTTGGCAGCTGCCCCTTCTCTCCGATTTGAGCCTGCCTGAATGTGTAATCACACTGCACATATTGTAATTTTTACATGTAATTTAAGTGAAAGAGGCGGTAAGCAGTAATCTTAGTCAGTGCATGCATCTATCTGGCTGACCAACCTGAAAACCTCTTGCTGCTATTGCATCCTGGTGGGGGAACACCTCATGTACTTCATGCCCTATAGGGGGATGCTGAAAGGTAATTCAAACAGGTTGTGACCTTGTGTGGGTTTTGTTGTGGCATGAATCAGCACTTTGAACAGTGTACATAATCAATATTACACTGAACCCCCCAAGGAAAATTCCCAACACACCTATTAGTTCTGCTGCTATAGTTTACCAAACGTGGAATAATTTAAAGATTATGCAGCTATTGTGCCTTACTCGCAATTGTCATAATGTCCAACAATAATCCTGGCTTTATTTCTGCTCTTTCCTTTCCAAAGAACACAATATGCATTTCCTTGCCAATTGTATTCACTAGCTCCAGGACATTTGATCTCAACCGTCCATACACAGTTGAGCTACTGGCTTTTCAAAAGGGTGGGTTCTAAGGGCATATTGTAGTGCATGTACTGTCTCACATTATCTCCCTATTGTTGTGGAACCCCTCAAATCCTCAAATCCAAAGAACAATGGAAGTCCCCAGTCCATAATAGACTCTCTGTATAATTGTACAGGGGGTTCCCCTTAACTCAGTATTATTGTGACTGCTGACCTCAACAGAGTGTAAATGGTGGACAGGTTTATCAGGATTCTCTGTACCTTGTGAATTCCACTTGTAATGGTTTTGTGATAAAGTGAAGAATGCCTGATTGTTACTTTCTTGCTGCTGGTAGAACATGCATAGCCTGTTTGTTGGCAGTGGTGAGCAACAGATGACTGAGATCAAAGGCCAGAGAAACCTTGTTGCATACACCCCATACTATATAGCTGTGAGACCCTGGAAGCCTACTGTGGGTGTTGATGGCTCTGAGTGGGTTGACCTGTTGTGACTTCCCTCCTCTCCTTTCATCCCCACCACATTCCCCTCCTCAGTATGGTACCTCCGTGACTTCCCTTCCCCTCACAAGATGCTGTAAAATATGGCCAGAACACTTACTTGCTTTGCTTACTTGATTTGCCTTGCCTAGCCTTTGTAGTCCAACTTCAAACAACCAGGTGCTAGGAATATACCTGTATTGGATGGGAAGTCCTTATCACAACATCAGTGCTAGGGTAGTGTAAATTGTCTGGCTTACACAACAGTCACTAGTACATCTTAGTGCAGGATGACACAGCAGCATTGTGATTGACTACAAATCAGGCTCTAGCTTGTGCCTCAGGCTATGCCCTCCTCTGGTATAGTCAACAGCCTCGAGTATCTCCTGTACCACCTTGCCACCTTGCCACCTTGCCGCCTATACCTTAACTAATACTTACCTCCTTGTTGACACATGCACATGTATGATGTGGCAAAGTAACCTGTGGCATTCAGCTTCCATACATTTCGTTGTTACAATATATGTTTTGTAATCTCTGAGACTAATTTGGCAGGATATACTTCTCTCTCATTTACATAATAAATGAAAAGCACTGAAGTGCAAACCCTCGGCGCATTGTGACGCGCACACGCAAGTAAACGCATGCAAGGTATCACTAATTGATTGGCTGGGTTTAGTTTTAGCTGTTACTCGTGGTCTCTTGCCAGCTCGCGCAGAGTCTTGACGTGGACTAACTACACTACTAGATAGCATGCGAGAGGCGATACACGCCCTGCGTTGCATCTTCTGGTGCCTCAGAGGTACGCAGAGCACGCGGATCGATCAGACCGTGGTAAGCCATCCCGTCCGTTGTGTATTCACATATTGGCTTTTTCGCGCTCTAGCTTTGCAACGGAGCAGTTTCAGAGAAAACCGCAGAAAAATCTGACCTTCATTGTCCGTGAAGTAGGTCGTGTCTTTGTGAGACGAACGAACATTCGAGAAGTGAGATGTAGAGTAACAGACACACACACACACACAGACCCAACTACAGTACGCTCCGAGGGTAATGAGAACCTGTGTGTGTACACTATACAAGACCGCAGGCTCAAGTTGCAGATTAGATGATCATACTTTGCAAGTTCACCAAACCCAGTCATAAGCTGTGGCTATTTCATTCAATAGTTATGTCAAAAGACTGACACTGGTGTATGTGGCACCTAGTCATTAGTGTATCTCATTCCTCTCCCTCTGCAGGCTAGAGCACAGAACACTGCCAGGAAGGCCATCAGTAAGCTGAAAGTCAGGACGTACAAAGTCTCAAAGGTATGAAGTCATCGGATTTTCTTCGATGCAATGGGGAGGCTGTTTGAACAATCATCTGCAAAGTAATGTCTGTATTAAAGCGTTGCTGCAAGGTCACAATTCAAACTTTTTCTTGGCGTTCACACACACACACACATCTACTATCTACTTCTATATAATAGAAAGGCTGGTGTTTTTGCATACCTGCTTTGTTTAGCCTTTTGCCATCTTGGCAAAGTGTGCTACTATCTGTGCTACAGGTTGTATTAAAGTACATACATATTTCTTGCTGACTGGACATATGTCATGTCTGCCCACCAAGGCGTTGCTGATAGAGCACTGTTTCACAATCATGCCTTATATGGGAGCCTCCTACTCTTGTCTCAATTGGGAGCCTATCATAATACTCTGAAGGTGGAGAGGCTATCTGCACAGAAAACAGGTTTGTGGGGGAGCATGAATGCAATTAGTTCACAATTATGGAACATAGTAGATTGTGCAACGAAGAGCTACTGCACAGGCTCAGCATTACCATGGTTTACTGAACTCTAGCTGCTACTATTGAAAGCCATGCCTTTGGCACAATTTTTCAAGGTGGTTAGCCTTGCAAGGCCCTCTTTGTTTCAACTGCTAGCGGTGGTCAATCCTCTAGCGTACTATCTTACGAGTGTGGCTACTTTTGGCTGGTTCCGTGGGGATGTTCCTACCCATGCAGGCATGATTAGCTTCATTAAAGCCCTTAGCGAGCCATATATATGCCCAGAGCCTCCATAAGTCTGTAAGAATTTATATAAGGGTATAATACTAGGCGTTAAATATATTTCACATCAATTTCTGCTTATTTAAGGTGATACGCATGGCGTCCAAAGGGTTTTAAAATCACAGTATGTGTAAAATGAACGTAATGCAATAGTTTTAACACCGCATTCAAATTCTGTTCCACAGCAAAGGATCAGTTGGTACTATTATATAATAATTGTGACTATAAGTCGGCAAAATAGATTTTTAGTAAACAGCCTTACAAGTCGAAACAGCGGTACCGCGCGATTCAGACTTTTTTAACGGAGAAGGACCTACATCTATCTAGAAGACAGCTATACATACTTTAGAGTGTCGAAACTCGCTCGCGAGGGCCGTGGCGGCGCCTCGAAGTAGGCTACGTCGATCTCCACGCGCCCGTAAACGGGCGCAATACACGGGAATTATGCGAAGAACGGGCCGTCAAAACAACTGCCTAACGAGGAGCTAGGGTTACCAACGATGCTAAAAGCTTATCTGCTACCTTCGTTGAGCCTGTCTTCTTCGTTTCCACGAGAGATAGCCTCGTTCCACAACCGTGCGGGCGGCTTTAGGGGGCGTGTCAATGCACGACGTGTAACGGAGTGCATATGCGGAAAAATATCTCCACGTACAAAAATTGCCGTTTCTCGGATCTCGAAGGTCTGACTCCCGGGTACAAAAGCAGCTATATCTCCAGAATGGAACGGGTCATCTGCACCAAATTTTAAACGAGCACGGCAAAAAGGGTGGAAAACGCGGAATCCGGTGAAATCTCGAAAATATTTTTGCCGATTTATACCGCTTTTTCGCGTGGACGGTCACAATTAGCGAGCACGAGCGAGCTAACCTGGTGGTCCAAACGGCGCGATTTTTCTATATATTTATTTATATGTCACCATGCACCGTCTAACTGCGCATGCGTTTGAATTACGCGCCACTCTTTATCCGAAATGATTTCACACACTGCCTAGATCCTCGATGCTCGATCTAGCCAGCCAGAGAACTCTCATCCTTGTCGGCTGTGTCTCTTGTGGTTCCCAGGTGCAAGTTGTAAGTAGGCTAGTTCCATGTGGGTGCCTGTACCCATGCAGGCATGATTAGCTTCATTATAATCACAGTATGTGTAAAATGGACGTAACTCAATAGTTTTAACATCGCATTCAAATCCTGTTCTACAGCAAATGATCAGTTGGTACTATAATAATTAGCGAGCATGAGCGAGCTAACCTGGTGGTCCAAATGGCGCGATTTTTCTATATATTTATTTTTATGTCACCATGCACCGTCTAACTGCGCATGCGTTTGAATTACGCGCCACTCTTTATCCGAAATGATTTCACACACTGCCTAGATCCTCGATGCTCGATCTAGCCAGCCAGAGAACTCTCATCCTTGTCGGCTGTGTCTCTTGTGGTTCCCAGGTGCAAGTTGTAAGTAGGCTAGTTCCATGTGGGTGCCTGTACCCATGCAGGCATGATTAGCTTCATTATAATCACAGTATGTGTAAAATGGACGTAACTCAATAGTTTTAACATCGCATTCAAATCCTGTTCTACAGCAAATGATCAGTTGGTACTATAATAATTAGCGAGCATGAGCGAGCTAACCTGGTGGTCCAAATGGCGCGATTTTTCTATATATTTATTTTTATGTCACCATGCACCGTCTAACTGCGCATGCGTTTGAATTACGCGCCACTCTTTATCCGAAATGATTTCACACACTGCCTAGATCCTCGATGCTCGATCTAGCCAGCCAGAGAACTCTCATCCTTGTCGGCTGTGTCTCTTGTGGTTCCCAGGTGCAAGTTGTAAGTAGGCTAGGATGGTTCGTGCAGATACAGTCATTGTGTACTCCTCGCTCCCGCTTGCCAGAAATGCCGTGCATTCCGCCTACCAGTTGTGTACCTCCTTCTCATGTTTTGTTGGCAGCTGCTATATAGTAGTACTGAGACACCTGGCGTGTGTACGTACGTGTGTGCAGTCGCAGACCTGTAAATCCATCTGACTATAACGTGGGAAGCAATGTTGTAGACTATGACCTACGCCTACATGTAGCCTTACTACGGTGTACTCACTGTTGTTGTCCTCGCACAGGGCTCCCAGGAGGTTGAGAGCTGCGCAGTCTGTCTGGAGCTGTACTGCAACAATGATGTCATCAGAATATTGCCATGCAGGTGGGTGGTGACTCAAATAACTGCGTAAACTGAATAACTCTTGCGTAATAAGAGCAGTAGGAAGAACCGTAGCTTCAAAGGCACACCGATATATAAAACTATGTATGTACACACATACACATGTTTAGTACAAGTATGTTCTAGTAATCATAATGAACTATTGGCAGCAAGAGAGCTTACGGTACATCTGTTTGTCGCAGAAACATCCAGATTTGGCAGGTGTGTTATTTGTGTTGTCATTCAGGGAACTTACCCATCGTGTGATTACTCTGCATACTGGTAGAAGATGAAAGTAGTGTGGGGGTCCCCTTCAGTTTCCACTGTAGAATGTTTTGCCATGTGGGTTGAAGTGCATCAATTTTTGGGGGTATGTGGGTGTAGGGAGAGTACAGGTGTAGGGAGAGTACATGTCTAGCCAGTCTGACCAAGGTATTGTACTTTCTGGAATTGGAACTATTTACTTTATCAGGAAGATCTGCATGTCATAACAAGGATTAAGGAGTGAAACGTGGCTTCATGGACTGGTTAGAACACACCAGCAATAGTACATCTCACGGGCGAAACAGTGCCTTTGTAATATATAGCTCCTCCACACAAAGACTGTTTTCGTGAGACTTTTCAATAATGCCGGGGCAGAGAGATAAAGAAGCAGAACAGGAGGCGGCCTTGGTACTTTGCTATGTGTCAAACCCTGCTACGTACGTGCTTTGATACACTACGCACACAAAATGTTTACCTCTGCCAATTTATTTATACCCTCACCCCTTGGGCCAACTGTAGCCATTGAGACTTCTCCATAGAAACATCTTACAAATACCGTACAACTGGAGTATGCAGCTAGTAGGGATCTGCGGTTGGTTGGCGTTGCTAACTGTATTCATGGGTGGAAAAAGGTGAACTTTGTACTTGGGTACTAGTGTGGTTGTTGCATGACCAGTGTTGGAGTATTGTACTTGTGGGTTGCCCCCTCCACTATAAGTATGATTGCTTGATTGCACAAGGTTCCATTTACAGTGGTTCTAGGGAGTATGCTTACCACATTGTGGAGGTTTTACTGAAACCCAGACTCATGGAGTCACTATAGAAAGTGCAAACCCTCAGCACACTCTACATGCTCGGTACCGCTAATTGATGGGTTGGGCCAAGAGTATGCATTTACTCATGGTCTCCACGCTAGTAGCTCGCGGAGAGTCTGACACGGGCTAGCTACACAAGTAGATAGCATGCAGGAGTCGATACACACCCTAAGTTGTGACTTCTTGAGCCTCAAAGGTACACAGAACAAGCGGACGCAGTAAGCCCAGTGCGATTATGAACATTAATTGACTTTTTCGCTTGTTTTCACGCATAATATCTCTTGAACGCAGTCGTTTCAGGAAAATCGCCTTTATTTTCGGGCTGGCGTAGTTCTGAAGCCGCTGGTGTTGTAGCCTGTAGTGCCACAATAAGCGTCGACACACACACAGCTACTGTAACCCTCGCTGCGTATGCGCGTTGAGGGTTAATGAACAGTGTCTGCCCCTTCATGGTGAAGGGGGGTGGGAGTGTCTGTCTGTGTCCATCCACCTGGCCTACAACGGCCACTTGTTTGTAGAGTTACCATGGAACCTCCAAACAAGGGACACTATATCCCCTGTAAAGAGGCTGTCCCTACATTCGGAGGTCATATAATACACTAAAGTATTAGCATGGACTTGAGAAATAAGTGTTCTTACTAGAGAGGGTGTCCCTATCTTGGAGGGTCCCTTATCAGAGGTATATACCACTTTTGTGTGGCCAGCATTGGTATGCATACTAATCGGCAGGTGTAGACTTCAGACTTTTAGTCTACAGTTGTTCATGCATGCATGACTAAGTCCGCATGGAATTTTGCGCTGGTGAGATGAGTAGACTGAAGTTGCCTTATTTGTTTGATAGAAGTTGAATTTTAGTACACCACTACACTAAGGGTTGGCCTGCTTTGCCTTTGTCAATGATATGCATGTGCCGTAGTCATGCATGACAGGTATATAGCTCCAAACAGTAACTGTGGGAATACTCATGGAGGAATACTCATGGAGGAAATGGAGCCACTCTCTCCAGCCATCTAGGGTTCAGTCATGTCATGAATATCCTTTACTTGTATTCCCACAGACACGAATTCCACAAGAACTGCGTGGACCCCTGGCTGAAAATCAAACACACCTGCCCACTCTGCAAGGGGAACATCACCACCTCCAAATCCCGGAACACCTCCACCTCCTCCTCGGTGGTGACAACGACCACGTCAGACGACCGACAGAGACAGCGACGGACAAGCAGCAACTCTGTCACCACGCCGATCTCTCTATCCTTTCACTCCCTTGCATCCTCCAGCGACTCGTCCAGTGGGTCTGACACCACCGTCACACAGCTCAACGAGATGAGAGTCCTGACTCGCCCCGCCCCCTCTGCCCAGGTGGCCATTAGCCTTGAGGAGGAGAGAGAAAGTACCGCTCCAGATACAGAGATTGTCTAACAAACTCCCTTGTCTTTTCTCAATTGTGTTTTTATGTCTTGCCTAAACTGTGGGATAACCTTTTTCTTTTTTTGTTTTTGTATGTATCATTGTGTAATTTGGTGGACAGTACTATCTTTGTTTGTGCAGCTCATGCTCAATTAATTTGGAGTATATCATTTTAGACTTATACAAACCTTTTGCCATGAAGTTGCATGGATGATCCTGCATGGTGTTACTCAGGTGGCAACCATGGCTCTATAATAGCAATGGGCAGGACCTTAACTATGTGGAAATGCAGTCTCCACCGCCTAACTCACAGCTTTCACTATTACTATAATGAGCTATAATACAAACAAGGAAAGAGGTCCATGTATATATATACTATATACACCACCTTTTCCTCTTGGAAGCAATAACGCTATAATATGATTGCATCATCATAATCCAAGCAGGGTCAGCCTATAGCTACCCATGAACTGTATGAACCAGTGTTCCCATTTTGTGAGCTCAAAACTATTCCGTGCCACAACCTAGGGTAGGGGGAGCGACTGGGTCAGCCTATCCCACACTATTATCCATCAACCAGAGGATGCAGACAGGGGAGGTCACGTTGGGATGCACCAACCTGGTGAGAGCTGTATAAGGTAGTGGTATACTTATTACTGGTGGCCACAACTCCCATCTGTTTTACTTTCAAGGAACTACTCAAGGGGTGAGAATGCCACAACTTCCTGCTATAAAGTAGATTCATCACAATGTGGTATCACATGACAAACTAGTGCATGACTAAACAGCTGAGGCTAGCTATACAGTTAATTAGCTATGGCTCTGGCTAGGTTTCTATTGCTAGGGTATTTGTTAGTGGCAGTGACCTATCAACTTGATAGTGAGACTGGAGAGAAAGACAGTGAACTAAAGGATATAAACTTCTTGCTTTTGATGCCTTTTGAATTTGATGATCCTCTTGTGGAGCAGCTCTCTTATACAGATGGGCCCATGATTCAGCCTGGAGCAGAGCTGGCAGTGGAGCAGATAAACCAGAGGGAAGATCTCCTGGCAGGCTACTCTGTCAACCTGACTGTTGCCAACTCTGCTTGCAACCTACACGGTCCCACTGTAGTCAATTTCGTGACTACCTTCTTCCACAGTGGTCTGAGGTTTGTTGGCATAGTGGGTCCTGCATGCTCTGATTCGGCAGAGGTGATATCACCCATCACTGGACAGGAGGGCGTCTCTCTTCTAAACTTCCACATTGTCAGTTCTCCAAGACTCACAGATCGCAATAGGAATGGTTATGCGTTTGGAACAGTTGGTTCATCTCAGGCCTATATCGGACTTTTCTTGAATCTCATGATGGAGAATGAGTGGGAATCTGTGGCAGTTCTTTACGAGGAATCAAAGATTTTCTATCTTACTGCTTATGACTTGCTAGTTGAACAACTGCCTCAAGTTTTCCCACAGGGCAGGATTGTTTATTCAGCTCCTGTGTCAGAGATTGACTTGGCCCTATCGCCAATCATTAATCAGCACATACGAGTCGTATTTGTTTTGAGTACGTCTGAAGTGGCACATAGAATGATGTGTCTAATTCATAGAGATTACAGCCTACTCACATTCCCAGCGTATCAGTTTGTGTTCATAGAAGTCCGCAACTATTACTTTCACTACCCTGCAAACTTTACGTTGAGTAACAGTCGCTATATATGTACAGTGAAAGAGATTACGCAAGTAATGGAGGGATTCCTACTAACGCATATCAAACTGGATGTGGCTTATTCAGCTCCGTTTGGTCTCTGGTGTAACCTACTCTGAGTACTTTCAGCAGTACAAGGAGAAGGTGAATGGCTCTACAACAGAATGGGCCAACCCAACATATGACGGAGTGTGGTCTCTTGCACTGGCTCTCAACAACTCCATTCCTAGACTGAATGAAATTGGTCTGGATCTGGTTGACTACACCTATGGCCACCGAGAGGCCACTGACATCATACGGGATGAGGTTCTCAAATTGCATTTCCAAGGAGCTTCAGGACATATATCGTTCAACAATAAGACTGGGTATACTAGTGCCTCAGTTGATCTTCACCAGGTGGTGGACAATACCAGTGTCTTAGCTGGGTACTATGACGAAGATACACAAGAGATTGTGTCAGTAGTTGAAGCACAATTTGTTGAAAACTCTTTTGAATCAATGAAACTGGTTGTGCATCCTGCCCTGGCAAGTCTGTTTTTGCTCCTCACTATATTGGCTCTTGTGTTTATCGTTGGCACACATGTTGCAACTCTAGTTTTCTCGAGTTTTCCAGCCATTAGAGCTTCAAGTTACCGCCTGGGGCAGCTGGCTTTCATTGGTTGTTACCTGATAGTGTTTTGCCTTCTATGTTTCACAATTGAGAAAGTTGCCACTTCTACCTCAGTAAGTATTACCTCACTCTGTGTGATTCAAGCCTGGTGCCTTCCTCTTGGTCTCACCCTCATCCTTGGTACCCTCACTGCCAAAACATGGAGACTCTATCGCATATTTGTTCATCTGAAGAAACCAGGAAAGTTGCTTTATGATTGGACACTCATTATTGTTATTCTGGTACTAGCAACTGTGGATATAGTTTTGTGCTCTGTGTGGACAGCAGAATTCAAATTTACGACATTACGTGACGAAATGTTTTCAGGCAACAACATGATCGAGGTGAATTTGGAGTGTTCTTCAGAGTACTACTACGCTTGGTTTGGTGCACTGACACTCTACCAAGGCTTGATCATGGCCTCAGCTCTTGTGCTTGCTTTACTCACTAAAAACATTCGCCATGAAAGTTTTAAAACAAAATCAGTCACGTTTCTCGTGTACTTTTTAACCCTCACCCTTTCCCTTGGATTCCCTCTTTACCTGATTCTGAACACTACACGTGTGTCTGGAGTAAATGTGGAGTATGTGGTTCTTTCTCTGACCTACCTGGCTGTTGTTTGTCTCTGCTTTGTCTTCCTGTTCTTTCCTCCAGTCCTCTCTCTGTTGAGAGTAAAGCTATTCCACAAGATACCAGGACTCAAGAGATATTCTACGGAGGTTGCTACCAAATCATACCAACCTTCTTCCTTCATGACATAGAGAGAACATTAACAATTAAATGTTGGAACATTTTGCAATAAACTGTGTGCAGTTAGTGGATTATTTCAGAATACTAAACACTCGGCGCGGCGCACTAGAAATGTAATTATACATGTGGTGCAATAATGGCTGGGCTATATATTATGTGTTGTCATGGTTGCTAGCTTGTAGCACCGATTGACTCCTAAGCTAATGTTAACAAGTGGAAAAACCATTTCTTCAAAATAATAATGAAGGGGGATATAGGGATAGCTCAAAACATGAAAAAGTGAGCGACAAAGGGTCATTACACAGCTAAGACACACAATGCTACATGACACCATCACTATCTTTGTCTGATATTATTTGCGGAACAAAGATATAGGGATGGTGTCATGTAGCTAGTGCTGTGTGTAATGACCCCTTGTTTCTCACTTTTACATGTTTTGAGCCATCCCTATATCCCCGTTCATTTAAGAAAAGATTTTCCCACTTGTTTCCACTTTTTTTTTTTATGAAAAGCTCTGACAAAGTATTGAAATGCAAAGGCAATGCATGCGCGGGTCTCGCGTTTGTTGGTCACTCTGACAAATGACATGAAGCTGTATTCTGCCAAAACATATTTGTATGCGTATACATGTGTACACAACATTTTCATAACACCGACCTGATGGTATATATGTGTGTGGCTGCATGCACCATTCCAAAGTAAGCGATACTGTAGCTAATGAAAGCCGAGTTTGTAAGGAAGGCCGCAATATAGAGTGAAATGCAAGAAGCGCTGCACTAAACTCGTGATAAAGTGCTATAATATACAAAGGACTAAGTACTTACACTAAGGCATAAATGCACAGGGTATCTCACAATGTACACTAATTAGAAGTCAAAAGAAACAACTAGAGTAAACAGCTTGAGTAACCAGCCAGATAGAGTAAACAGCAAGTGACTAGTGAAAGTCAACATTGACCTGTTTACAGCCCTTGCTGTTTACAGTCTCCCGCAAAATACTCACACAGCTAACAGTTGTACAGTGAAATGGGGCTTATCAAGGTCCTTCTGCTGTGGGCCCTAGTTCAGGCGGTAAGCAATGGACAGGAAAGTGGAGAGAAAGAGACTGGACAGAGAGACATTAATTTCTTGCTATTGCTATCATTTGAAATTGAGGGCCCTACTTCACAGCAGCCGCTGTACACAGATGGGCCCATGATTCAGCCTGGAGTAGAGCTGGCAGTGGAGCAGATAAACCAGAGAGAAGATCTCCTGGCAGGCTACTCTGTCAACCTGACTGTTGCCAACTCTGCTTGCAACCTCCTGGGATACACGGCAATAGGTTTTGTAAGAAGTTTCTTCCACGGTGGTGTGAGGTATGCAGGGATAGTGGGGCCCACTTGCTCGGAGTCTGTGGAGTTAGTATCACCCATCACTGGACAGGAGGGTGCCTCTCTAATAAATTTCCACATTGCCAGTTCTCATCAATTCACCGATCGCAGCAGGTACAGGTACTCATTCAGCACAGTTAGCTCCACCAGCCCCATCATTGGACTAGTTGTGCATCTCATGAAAGAGAAAAAATGGGAATCTGTGGCTGTTTTATACGAGCAACAAACAACTGTCTATCTCAACGCTTACAATTTACTTGTTGAAAAACTGCCCCGAGTTTACCCCAATGGTAGAATCTCTTTTGCAGCACCAGTATCAGAGGATATCTTGCCGCTTTCATCGATTGTTCGTCAGCACCTAAGAGTTGTTATAGTTCTTAGTACTCTGAGAGTAGCTCATAATATAGTGTGTCTGATTCAGAAACGTCATCATAGACTTTCTTTTCCAGCATACCAGTTTATTTTTGTGTGGGACTATCCTTCTTTTCACTACCCAGTAAGTTTCACATTGAATCGTCACCGCCATGAATGTTCTGTGGAAGAAATGACACAAGCTATGGAAGGATTTCTATTGACATTCCTGACTCTAGATGCTGCTAATTCCACTGAATTGGTCTCTGGTGTAACCTACTCTGAGTACTTTCAGCAGTACAAGGAGAGGGTAAATGGCTCCACAACAGAATGGGCCAACCCGACATACGACGGAGTGTGGTCTCTTGCATTGGCTCTCAACAACTCCATTCCTAGACTGAATGAAATTGGTCTGGATCTGGTTGACTACACCTATGGCCACCGAGAGGCCACTGACATCATACGGGATGAGGTTCTCAAATTGCATTTCCAAGGAGCTTCTGGACATATATCATTCAGTCAAGACACTGGGTTCACTAGTGGCTCAATTCCTCTTCATCAGGTCATGGACGGTACTAGTGTACCTATCGGCAATTATAAAGAAGAAACAGAAGAGTTGGTGATATTTGGAGATGGTGAATTTGTTGAAGGTTCATTTGAACTAACAGAACTCGTAATACATCCAGCCCTGGCAAGTCTGTTTTTGCTCATCGCTTTTCTTGCATTAGTGCTAATCGTTAGCACACATGTTGCGACTCTTGTTTTCTCGAGTTTTCCGGCCATTAGAGCTTCAAGTTACCGCCTGGGGCAGCTGGCATTCATTGGTTGTTACCTGATAGTGTTGTGCTTTCTTTGTTTCACTATCAGAGAAGTTGCCACTTCTACCTCAGTAAGTATTACCTCACTCTGTGTGATTCAAGCCTGGTGCCTTCCTCTTGGTCTCACCCTCATCCTTGGTACCCTCACTGCCAAAACATGGAGACTCTATCGCATCTTTCGTAATCTCAGGAAGCCCGGAAAATTACTTCATGATTGGGTACTCATAGTTGTTGTTTTTGTGCTAGCAACTGTGGACGTTGTGTTGTGCTCTGTGTGGACTGCAGAATTCCACATCACTACATTGCACCATGACGTGATTACAGATGGCATTATCGAAGTGAATTTAGAGTGTTCTTCTGATTACTACTACGCTTGGTTTGGTGCACTGACACTCTACCAAGGCTTCATCATGGCCTCAGCTCTTGTGCTTGCTTTAATCACTAAAAACATTCGCCACAAGAGTTTCAAAACAAAGTCTGTTACACTTCTAGTATATTCTTTAACCATCACCCTTTCCCTTGGATTCCCTCTTTACTTTATTCTGAACACTACACGTGTGTCTGGAGTAAATGTGGAGTATGTGGTTCTTTCTCTGACCTACCTGGCTGTTGTTTGTCTCTGCTTTGTCTTCCTGTTCTTTCCTCCAGTCCTCTCTCTGTTGAGAGTAAAGCTATTCCACAAGATACCAGGACTCAAGAGATATTCTACGGAGGTTGCTACCAAATCATACCAACCTTCTTCCTTCATGACATAGAGAGAACATTAACAATTAAATGTTTGGAACATTTTGCAATAATACTGTGCAGTTAGTGGATTATTTCACCAATTAGAATACTAAACACTCGGCGCGGTGCACTAGAAATGTAATTATACCTTACAGAGTTAAAGGAAAACAACTGTTACTGACATAATTCAAACATCTTCCTACAATTAAGTCAACAATAACTCGGAATAGCTACCCTATGCAGCATGACTCTGTCACCACCCAGAGGATGTACAAGTTTTGCAGTCATCTGTTTTTGTTGGGCATATTTTATGCTTTGTGGCAGGTGTGCATGTGTGATTACATAACAGCACAAAATAGACTGTTTAGCTCACATTTTAGCTACAATCTACAGGTATAGGACAGGATTTGCACATTATGAAGTTAGATGTAACAATAATAATATGCCAACAAATCCAACCCCACACTCACTGACATTATTGACATGGAGGCAACCCCGCACACAGGCACATCCACTCGTGTCAGATGCCGTGCATGGAATGAATGTTGTAATTATTCTTTCAGTTCAACATTCCACGCATGCACGCCGAGGGTTAAATAGTACTAGCTATTGTTCTATGCAAGAGACACAGTAAATTACGTACTAAGTTGTTATCAATCATCATACAAAATGATGTAAGCATGAGCTTAGATTTTGGGCTGATGCAAAACTTTGTGGTGATGTTTTATACCTCAGTGTGTTTGTTGCACATCACCTCTATTTAACACGTAGGACCCGAGTTTGAACCCCGGCCTCAGCCTTTCTATTTTTTCCGGCTATTTTTGCGGTCAGAGGGTTAAAACCTCCCTCCTAATCTCCCAACTAACGTAACTGTACACTCCCATTGTCTCATAATTCCCTCCCTCATGTCCACCAAACTCCCTTATTAGTGTTGTTGTATAATAATAACTTAATGATGGAGGTGACTGGTATTTTCAGGGCCTAGTGTGAGGGCGAAACTTCAGGTTGTTCGTGAGAGAAGGTAGCAGACTAGCTACTCTCTGAAGTTAATAAGCATGTGCCTTGCTTGTTTGTAGTCAAGGCTGGAGTGTGGTGCCCTTCACCCTTTGACCCCATCCATGTGGCTATGTTCTTCAGCACTCAGCATAACTCTACGGGTGTGAAGACATGGCCCGCGAAGTTGTTTCAATGTCAACTAAAGCATTGAAAAATGTCAACATGCTGTTTTCATTTTTACACTGACCACATACTTGTTCACTACATGAAACCTTTTGGTTGCCCTTCAGCTGTTCATCCCTCTCTGGTTTATTGTCAGCGAAAGCCACAGCATAAAAATTCTGTGACTAAACTGTGTCTTGTGTACCAGCCTGGTTTCATCTGAAGTCCACATGCATAGATCATGGGCACGCTATATATAGCCAACTGAAGGCACATCCAACAAAGTATATAGTCTAACCACACATACATTATGTTGACTAACTGAAGTGTGCATGGTTGCAAATTGTATGGTAACAATGTTTTCGACCTGTGTTAAGAACCAAGGAACCATTCTCCCTCGATACTTTTTTGCGTTGCCTTAGCTACTCATGGTTGTTGCTTGTAGCTACCGCTGTATAAACCGTGACACCCACTCATATAAATTATGTGCACAAGGAATAGAGAATAGAACTAACCACAAACTCTATCTGTGGTGCTGTTTACTACGTCATTGTGTCAGTGCTGAGCTAAACAGAAATGGCACTGCATATATATAGCGTATAATATAGGGCTTGTGACTACATTTAGTCTGTAGCTACTGAAAAAATCTATGACCAGCCAGAGAAATGGCTGTAGGTAGGCATCTGTATCTTGAAATATTATTTCTTGTGGTGGGGAGCTATCTACTAATGAGTGGGAGCAGGGAACTAGAGATTGGACTAAAGGAGATTAATTTCTTACTGTTAGTATCTTTCGACATTCAAAATGTGAGCTCAGAGCAGCCACGGTTTAATGAAGGGCCCATTATTCAGCCTGGAGCAGAGCTGGCAGTGGAGCAGATAAACCAGAGAGAAGATCTCCTGGCAGGCTACTCTGTCAACCTGACTGTTGCCAACTCTGCTTGCAACCTCCTGGGATACACGGCAATAGGTTTTGTAAGAAGTTTCTTCCACGGTGGTGTGAGGTATGCAGGGATAGTGGGGCCCACTTGCTCGGAGTCTGTGGAGTTAGTATCACCCATCACTGGACAGGAGGGTGCCTCCTCTATCAAATCTGCACATTGCCATTCTCATCAATTCACCGATCGCAGCAGGTACAGGTACTCATTCAGCACAGTTAGTTCATCTCAAGCCCATCAGTTGGACTGTTCAGCATCTCATGAGGGAGAACAAATGGGATTCAGTGGCTGTTTCTATACGAGCATCGGGAAACTGTCTATCTCACTGCTTACAACTTGTTAGTGCAACAAACTGCACCTAAGTTTACCCCAATGGTAGAATCTCTTTTCGGCCCAGTGTCAGAGGATAGCTTCCCCCTTTCATCAATTGTTAGTCAGCACCTGAGAGTTGTGATAGTTCTGAGTACACGAGAGTAGCTCATAAATAGTGTGTCTCATTCAGAGACGTCTATCCTCAACTTTTGTTCCCAGCGTACCAGTTTGTTTTTTGTAGGGCGCCTATCTTTCCTTTCCTATCGTACAGTTTCACATTGAATCGTCACCGCCATGAATGCTCTGTGGACGAGGTATGACAGAGGCATGGAAGGATTTCTATTTGACACACATCAAATCTAGATGTTGCTAATTCCACTGAATTGGTCTCTGGTGTAACCTACTCTGAGTACTTTCAGCAGTACCAGGAGAAGGTGAATGGCTCCACAACAGAATGGGCCAACCCGACATACGACGGAGTGTGGTCTCTTGCACTGGCTCTCAACAACTCCATTCCTAGACTGAATGAAATAGGTCTGGATCTGGTTGACTACACCTATGGCCACCGAGAGGCCACTGACATCATACGGGATGAGGTTCTCAAATTGCATTTCCAAGGAGCTTCAGGACATATATCATTCAGTAAAGACACTGGGTTCACTACTTCCTCTGTTCCTCTTCACCAGGTCATGGACACGACTAGTGTCCTCATTGGTTACTTTGATGAAGATAAAGAACACCTGGTACTAGAGAAAGATGCTGAATTCGTGGATAATTCCTTTCCATTGAAGAGGGTAGTTGTGCACCCTGTTCTGGGAGGTTCATTCGTCCTCATCACCATTTTAGTACTTGCGCTAATAGTTGCTGTGCACATTGTAACTCTTCTTTACAACAAGTTTTCTGATATCAGGGCTTCAAGTTATCGTGTAGGACAGCTAACTTTCATCGGGTGCTACATGATCGTTTTGTGTCTATTGTGCTTCACGTTTCAGAAGATTTCCTCCACCACTGCAATAAGTACTACAACACTCTGTGTCATTCAGGTGTGGTCCCTGTCACTTGGATTTACTCTCATCCTTGGCACTGTGGCTGCCAAAACTTGGAGACTCTATCGCATCTTTGTCCACCTCTGGAAGCCAGGGTCTTTCCTACATGATTGGGTTTTAATGACTGCCGTTCTAGTTCTAACAACTGTGGATGTGGTTTTGTGTTCCATTTGGAGTGCAAAATTCAAGTTTACAATGATACAGAATGAGATAGTAACACACAACAACACAATTGAAGTGAGATCCGAATGTCATTCTGAGTACTACCGTGCCTGGTTTGGAGCACTTAGCATTTACCAAGGCTTGATCATGGCCTCAGCTCTTGTTCTTGCATTGCTCACAAAGAATATTAGCCATGAAAGTTTCAAAACAAAGTCTGTCACATTTCTCGTGTACTTCGTAACCATCACCCTTTCCCTTGGATTCCCTCTTTACCTGATTCTGAACACTACACGTGCGTCTGGAGTAAATGTGGAGTATGTGGTTCTTTCTCTGACCTACCTGGCTGTTGTTTGTCTCTGCTTTGTCTTCCTGTTCTTTCCTCCAGTTCTCTCTCTGTTGAGAGTAAAGCTATTCCACAAGATACCTGGACTCAACAGATATTCTACGGAGGTTGCTACCAAATCATACCAACCTTCTTCCTTCATGACATAGAGAACATTAACAATTAAATGTTTGGAACATTTTGCAATAATACTGTGCAGTTAGTGGATTATTTCACCAATTAGAATACTAAACACTCGGCGCGGCGCACTAGATATGTAATTATACCTTACAGAGTTAAAGGAAAACAACTGTTACTGACATAATTCAAACATCTTCCTACAATTAAGTCAACAATAACTCGGAATAGCTACCCTATGCAACATGACTCTGTCACCACCCAGAGGATGTACAAGTTTTGCAGTCATCTGTTTTTGTTGGGCATATTTTATGTTATCTTTGCTTTTGTGGCACGTGTGCATGTGTGATTACATAACCGCACAAAATAGACTGTTTAGCTCATTTTTAGCTACAATCTACAGGTATAGGACAGGATTTGCACATTATGAAGTTAGATGTAACAATAATAATATGCCAACAAATCCAACCCCACACTCACTGACATTATTGACATGGAGGCAACCCCGCACACAGGCACATCCACTCGTGTCAGATGCCGTGCATGGAATGAATGTTGTAATTATTCTTTCAGTTCAACATTCCACGCATGCGCGCCGAGGGTTAAATAGTACTAGCTAGTGTTCTATGCAAGAGACACAGTAAATTACGTACTAAGTTGTTATCAATCATCATACAAAATGATGTAAGCATGAGCTTAGATTTTGGGCTGATGCAAAACTTTGTGGTGATGTTTTATGCCGCAGTGTGTTTGTTGCACATCACCTCTATTTAACACGTAGGACCCGAGTTTGAACCCCGGCCTCAGCCTTTCTATTTTTTCCGGCTATTTTTGCGGTCAGAGGGTTAAAACCTCCCTCCTAATCTCCCAACTAACGTAACTGTACACTCCCATTGTCTCATAATTCCCTCCCTCATGTCCACCAAACTCCCTTATTAGTGTTGTTGTATAATAATAACTTAATGATGGAGGTGACTGGTATATTCAGGGCCTAGTGTGAGGGCGAAACTTCAGGTTGTTCGTGAGAGAAGGTAGCAGACTAGCTACTCTCTGAAGTTAATAAGCATGTGCCTTGCTTGTTTGTAGTCAAGGCTGGAGTGTGGTGCCCTTCACCCTTTGACCCCATCCATGTGGCTATGTTCTTCAGCACTCAGCATAACTCTACGGGTGTGAAGACATGGCCCGCGAAGTTGTTTCAATGTCAACTAAAGCACTGAAAAATGTCAACATGCTGTTTTCATTTTTACACTGACCACATACTTGTTCACTACATGAAACCTTTTGGTTGCCCTTCAGCTGTTCATCCCTCTCTGATTTATTGTCAGCGAAAGCCACAGCATAAAAATTCTGTGACAAAACTGTGTCTTGTGTGCCAGCCTGGTTTTATCTGAAGTCCACATGCACAGATCATGAGCATGCTAATGGAAAGTATAATAGCTAACTGAAGGCACATCCTAAAAAAACTCAAGCAAACTAGTCTAACCGCACATACATTATGTTGACTAACTGAAGTGTGCATGGTTGCAAATTGTATGGTAACAATGTTTTCGACCTGTGTTAAGAACTAAGGAACCATTCTCCCTCGATACTTTTTTTGCGTTGCCTTAGCTACTCATGGTTGTTGCTTGTAGCTACTGCTGTATAAACCGTGACACCCACTCATATAAATTATGTGCACAAGGAATAGAGAATAGAACTAACCACAAACTCTATCTGTGGTGCTGTTTACTACGTCATTGTGTCAGTGCTGAGCTAAACAGAAATGGCACTGCATATATATAGCGTATAATAATATAGGGCTTGCGACTACATTTAGTCTGTAGCTACTGAAAAAATCTATGACCAGCCAGAGAAATGGCTGTAGGTAGGCATCTGTATCTTGAAATATTATTTCTTGTGGTGGGGAGCTATCTACTAATGAGTGGGAGCAGGGAACTAGAGATTGGACTAAAGGAGATTAATTTCTTACTGTTAGTATCTTTCGACATTCAAAATGTGAGCTCAGAGCAGCCACGGTTTAATGATGGGCCCATTATTCAGCCTGGAGCAGAGCTGGCAGTGGAGCAGATAAACCAGAGAGAAGATCTCCTGGCAGGCTACTCTGTCAACCTAACTGTTGCCAACTCTGCTTGCAACCTCCTGGGATACACTGCAATAGGTTTTGTAAGAACTTTCTTCCACGGTGGTGTGAGGTATGCAGGGATAGTGGGGCCCACTTGCTCGGAGTCTGTGGAGTTAGTATCACCTATCATTGGACAGGAGGGTGCCTCCATTATCAATCTGCACATTGCCAATTCTCAGGTGCTCACAGATCGCAGCAGGTACAGGTACTCATTCAGCACAGTTAGTTCATCTCAAGCATACGTTGGACTGTTCACGCATCTCATGAGGGAGAACAAGTGGGATTCAGTGGCGTTCTCTATGAAGGATCGGTAACTGTGTATCTCACTGCTTACAACTTGTTAGTGCAACAGCTACCTAACGTTTATCCAACTGGTAGGATAGCATTTTCGGCTCCTGTGTCAGACGATAGCTTCCCCCTTTCATCAATTGTTAATCAGCACTTGAGAGTTGTGATAGTATTGAGTACAACGAATATGGCTCGTAAAATAGTGTGCCTCATTCAGAGACTCTATCCTCAACTTTTGTTCCCAGCGTACCAGTTTGTTTTTATAGGGCGCCATTCTTTCCTTTCCTATCGTACAATTTTAACATTTAACAATCGTCACTATGAATGCTCTGTGGACGAGGTTATAAGAGGCATGGAAGGGTATCTTTTGACACACATCAAACTAGATGTTGCTAATTCCACTGAATTGGTCTCTGGTGTAACCTACTCTGAGTACTTTCAGCAGTACCAGGAGAAGGTGAATGGCTCCACAACAGAATGGGCCAACCCGACATACGACGGAGTGTGGTCTCTTGCACTGGCTCTCAACAACTCCATTCCTAGACTGAATGAAATAGGTCTGGATCTGGTTGACTACACCTATGGCCACCGAGAGGCCACTGACATCATACGGGATGAGGTTCTCAAATTGCATTTCCAAGGAGCTTCAGGACATATATCATTCAGTAAAGACACTGGGTTCACTACTTCCTCTGTTCCTCTTCATCAGGTCATGGACAAGACTAGTGTCCTCATTGGTTACTTTGATGAAGATAAAGAACACCTGGTACTAGAGAAAGATGCTGAATTCGTGGATAATTCCTTTCCATTGAAGAGGGTAGTTGTGCACCCTGTTCTGGGAGGTTCATTCGTCCTCATCACCATTTTAGTACTTGCGCTAATAGTTGCTGTGCACATTGTAACTCTTCTTTACAACAAGTTTTCTGATATCAGGGCTTCAAGTTATCGTGTAGGACAGCTAACTTTCATCGGGTGCTACATGATCGTTTTGTGTCTATTGTGCTTCACGTTTCAGAAGATTTCCTCCACCACTGCAATAAGTACTACAACAGGTGTGGTCCCTGTCACTTGGATTTACTCTCATCCTTGGCACTGTGGCTGCCAAAACTTGGAGACTCTATCGCATCTTTGTCCACCTCTGGAAGCCAGGGTCTTTCCTACATGATTGGGTTTTAATGACTGCCGTTCTAGTTCTAACAACTGTGGATGTGGTTTTGTGTTCCATTTGGAGTGCAAAATTCAAGTTTACAATGATACAGAAAAAGATAGTAACACACAACAACACAATTGAAGTGAGATCCGAGTGTCATTCTGAGTACTACCGTGCCTGGTTTGGAGCACTTAGCATTTACCAAGGCTTGATCATGGCCTCAGCTCTTGTTTCTTGCATTGCTCACAAAGAATATTAGCCATGAAAGTTTCAAAACAAAGTCTGTCACATTTTTCGTGTACTTTTTAACCATCACCCTTTCCCTTGGATTCCCTCTTTAC